CACATAACTATTTGATTTTAACATTTTGCTCATCTGTTTTTTGGGTTTTTGAAATACCGACTGAAGACATACTCCAAAAGGTTGCTTGGTTTTACTCTGTTTTAAAAGAAAATTTGCCAATGTGTTTTATAGAAGCTTCATTTAGTTTTGGAAACCATTCCTGATTTTCAAGACAAAGAGGTCTAGGATTCAAAATAATGGTTATACAAGCTGTTGTGAGTTAAGGTTTTGTTCTCAAAAATATTTGGAATTTCATAAAATTTTCCGCAAATATCTAGAAATTTTAGGTCGCAAAATCTGTCTTGATTCAAGCAGATGAATCAAGACAGACTTCAACTTACAGAAACACCACGTTATCATTTTTTATAGTGCCTTGCCGCTCAACAGAAATACTTTACTTTGAATTCCTATCATTCGTCCTCCACTGCTGTTATGTGAGCTGACTGCATGCCATACAACTCCTTTCAGAAATCCGAGACGTTTCCAGCTTTGGGCCTTATCTCTGCCTCTCAGGAACCTTCTTCCATCTGCTGATGTTTTAAAGCTATCGATCGAGCTGAAACAGCTACAGAGCAAGCTTTGACATTAAATATTAAACATACAAAGCTATTAAAGATATTTATATTAAGATTTATAACTAAAGACTTGAATATCTTAAGTAGTAACATTCAGAGAATGGCCAGACAACAAATCATTATTACTAATTTTTCCTAAACAATATTTGTTACAAAAAATATATATATTAAGCCGTTGTGGTAGATGTAGCAATACCAAGTGATTGCAACATCAGGAAAAAGGAGCACGAGAAACTGGAGAAATACCAGGACCTCAGGGAAGAACTGGAGAGGGCCTGGAAGGTGAAGACCACAGTGGTGCCTGTGGTCATCGGGGCCCTCGGGGCAGTAACCCCCAAACTGGAGCAGTGGCTACAACAGATCCCAGGAACAACATCAGACATCTCAGTCCAGAAATGTGCAGTCCTTGACACAGCCAAGATACTGCGCAGAACCCTCAAGCTCCCAGGCCTCTGGTAGAGGACCCGAGCTCAGAGGATAAGAACCACCCGCGGTGGGTGAGAAGGGAATTTATTGATCCAATCTGAACGATGAGCCTTGTCTTTATAAGAGTGAAGTGTATTTGATCATTTTTAAACTGGTGCTCACACATGACTCAGTCGAGATGCTGCTGGGATCTCATGTAAAATTTATGAGGAGAACAAGCTTCATTGATTTGACCTTTTCTGTTATTTTGTCCAGTAAGCAATGAAGTAATGGATTTTATCTATAGCTATCTCTCTCTCTCTCTATATATATATATATATAGAGAGAGAGAGATATATGTATAAAAAAAAACATGAATTGTGTACTGCATATGTTCCATAAGATAAATTTGTTTTTCTCTCGTTCTGTTTAAAAATATTATAGATTGTTGTGATTGGTGATGGCTGCCTTCGAGGAAAACCGAAAAACAACCAGCGTCGTTGTTGTTTTTTTTTCTGGGGAAAGATAAAGCATCTTTATCAGAACTTCCAAGAAACCGGAGCTAGCACACTTTGGTCCAGGCAGAGTTGAGTTGCTTTCACGTATCGCGCCTCCTGCATCCCTGCAGTCGGCTTTTGCTGCTCGGTTTTAATGCTTTTAAATGTCAGCATCCTCCGAGCCGGAGAAGGAAAGCCATCAGTGATCGCTATCAGTTCGGCCATCGCAGTGTTGGATTACAGAGGCGAACGGCAATCACTCCGGCCTCTTAAGTTTCCGCAGTCGGTCAGAGAACCTCAATGTTTGCTTTGTTATGCCTGCAGAAAGAGATGTCTGAAAATATCAATAAAATATGCCATACAAACATAAATGTACTTCTCAGAACGCATTTGAAAGATTCTCTTTTTGTAGTGGGACGATTATGCATCTTCATTGACGATGTTTGACTGTATTGTGGGTTTTCTTTTATACCACAGGGTCAAATCTAGACATACAGACTGGAATGAATGCATTTATTTGGATAAATGTCCTTTAGCCCGTTGCAAAGATGTTACACTTTTCTTTCTGAGTGTCAGGAATCCTCTGGTGTAAACCTGGCTGGTTATTGGGCAGTTCCAGTCAGAAATACCTAAATTAAAATTTTCTTCAAGGCTGGAATATTATGGCTTAAACGTAAAATCTCAGACCTTTTTTTTTTTTTTTACGTGTGCGCTAAATTTGATTTCCAATTTTTATAATTCCCCCCGCCCCCCTCACTTTCTTTTCTTACAAAGGAATTATAAATAACAAAATTATCTTTTAAAAAATGGCTTTTATTTCAATCATCCCTTCTATGAGTTGACCTGAAGTCAAAGACCAAATAATTAGAAGTGGTAAAACATGCTTGTCAAACGAGATGGCTGCCCTGGGCATGCTGACCTCATCTCTTGAACTATGTGGTTACATGTGATAAGAACCTGTTGGATGTGTTTGAGGGTCTATGTACAATTTTGAATTACAGAAAATGTATTCAGACCAGTGTACACTCAGTTTCAAAAGTCATTGGCATGTTTTGCATACATTCATTCACCCTGGACAACAAAAGCTTTTGAAAGCTGCAAAATATGATTCTCACGACAGCTTAACATTCATCGGTGCTGCATAATTTGAGACAAAATGAATTTTTAACATGCATTTCTCCCCATAATAGAAATGAAAACATTGTTTAGAATACATTCTTCTTTTGCTTAAAAAAAAAACAGAAAAGAAACACATGTCCTGGTTCCTCTTCTTCAAACATAAAGCGTTTCGAAGCGTCCATCATAGCACCTGAAAACCGACTAGCAAGTTGTGTTTCCATGTAGCTTTAAAATTCACTATACAGTGGAGTATTTTTTTTTTAAATAATCTTTTTCACAATTGAATGTTTCTGAAGCAATCAGTGTGTAAGCAATTCCACCATATATGTCTCCAAGCCAGAGTTTGACCCCGATGACCCCCAAAACCAAGACAGAGAGAGAAGCTGAAGCAAATGGTGAATATGACGATGATCATCTTCAGGACAAATCTGTTAAAATTTATGTAAACTAATTATATCTGATTCGTTTCCATGCAGTTTCACAACTCGCCAAGTTAGTTTTCAAAGTATATCTTGTGTCATCTCAAATATTGACCATATTTTCTATAATAGTTCCTCGATGCAGTCCGGACTCAAACTATTTTAGCTTACCCAAGCATCTTCTCTCTTTCTGACTGCTGAGCAAAGATATTCTCCAACTTCTTCCCAGTGGGAGAAATGATTTGGGTTGTCCTGATAGAACAGGCCTCATTATACGGTGCATGGCGAAAGTTTACACAACCTTGTGAACTTGCGATTATTTCGTGAAAATGAGGCCGTGATAACTTTTTTTCTTCCCAATATGTTTTCAGTGTTAAGGTGAAAATGTCATCCTGTGTACGTCAAACAAGTAATTCTGTTAGATGGGAAAATGTTAAGCAAAGAGGAAAGCTGTGTAAGACACACTCTATATCTATACTGACTGAAAATGATGCCCATATAAAATATCCTGCACTCAATACTTGTTTGAATTACTGGTCGCTTCCATGGCTGGTTTCAGGTCATCAGCAAATGTTGGTTCCTTTGTCTCTCATCTACCTCTTGACAACTCTCCATGCGTCCTCTATGGGGTTAAAGGTCAAAGGAGTTTGCTGGCCAATCAAGAACAGGAACACTGTGGTCATTGAAGCAGCTTCCGGTACCTGTGTCGTGTGTGCCGGCGCCAAGCCGTGCCGGGAAACTGAAATCAGCATCTCGTTAAAGCCGGTCAGCAGAAGGGAGCAAAAAGTCTGAAATGTCCTTGAGAATGGCTGCTCTGACTTTGGACATGGTGAAAGCGGGTCGACACCAAAAGACGACATGGTTCCCAAAATCACAACTGATTGTGAGAACCTAGAGTATCTATTATGATCTTTCGAACCTAAAACAAAATATAAATTTTTCCTTAACTCCAGTGTGATGTTTCCTCTGGTGAAGGACACAGTGGTAACATCTGTCCTGGATGTCTCCGTCTCCAGCTGCTGTCCACAACCTTTGACTCGCCACCCGGCTCCTAAGTGAGCGCTGCTTTACGACCTTTTGCGCCCGCTGCTTTTTCTTCCACTCAACTTTCTGCTAATGAAACAGGACAAAACAATCTGTGACCAGGCAACTTCATCAACAACAACCTTCTGAGTCTAACCCTCCTTGAGGAGACGAGTCTTTGTCAAAATTTTATTATAAGATCTGTTAAAACACCTTTTTTAATTTTCTCTCAACTTTAAGCTTTCAGTATTTTAGCTCATAACAACAAAGATTACTTGAAATATGCTGTATGTAACGAATCTGTCTGACGCACAATGGGACCTATTTGAAAGACTGAAATGAACTTTAACACGCTTTTTGAACTTATGAAAATGCTCCCGACATTAGATCTAATTACAACATTTCTTGCAACCCGTTTTCACATTTCCTGCCAACATGCACCTATCAGCATGAATTCATGCAACTCCAGGCTGCAAAATACTGCCGGATTTGAGCTTTTATACATCTATATATATTGTGGCGGCGGCTTATCTGTCAACAAACACACGAAACGCGGTTCAGATTACCCGTAAAACGCTTATCTATGGGCTACCATGTGAGAATGGATGGAATATTGCTTTCATGCTGATAACATATCATTTAACTGGAAGTATCCCAGATGCAGATGAATCCCTCACTTCAGTGCGTCCACATTCAACTTTGAGGAGAAAGTGTTTTTCCATTTTGGTTGGCCAAAAAAAAAAAAAAAGAAAAGCCCCCCTAAATATTCAGAATGTATAGAAATAAAAGGTCACATTTTCCAGAATGTTTTCATGGTGCAGAGGAAACTTAATGTGATTGTCCCGCAGCCAAATTGGTTGTCCCATCAACACAATGAGCGTCAGTTTAAGGCGCCTCCTGCACGCCCTGTAATCCCCTCTGCCTCGGCGGCATTTGCATACAAAAAGGCGAGCAGACACGTATTATCTTCCAGAACACGTTCACACTCTCAGCCTCCCTCTTTATTCTTTACAATCAGGATTATAATAATTGCACTTGAGTTTGTGTCTCCTTCCCCTCCCTCCAACATCTCACGATGATGATGATGACGATAATGTAATAAATTAGTGATACTATCAGGCAGTTCCTGCTCTCTGTTCACACCGAGTTCCGAGATGTCCTTGCGGGGCTCACCCCCAGAAGATCCCGCCCCTGCTCTCCGGACGCCGCCGCCGCCGGTTCCGCTCCGGACAACAGGTCATCGTCGGAGCGGTCCCGGTCCCGGTCGCGGTGCATCTCCTGCATGCTCTCCTCGTACGTGGGCAGGTACTTGACCTCGTCGTAGGCCGGCAGGTTCGGGGAGGCGAAGTCCCCCAGGGCGCCCTCCGGGTAGGGCTCCAGCAGGAGGTCCTGGGACGCCGACGTGGGTCCGTGGAAGAGGGAAGGCTCCTCGGCGTGCTCCTGGTTCTGGTGCCGGTGGCGGGGCCGCGGGCAGATGATCCTCTGGATGAAGTAGCCCATGGCGAAGAGCAGCAGCAGGATCAAGATGCCCGACAGCTTCCGCGTGAACCAGCCGACGTTGTCGAAGAAGACGTGGATGGGGAGCTTGCAGCAGCTCTCCGCGGAGCCGGAGCTGCCGTTCCCGGGGACGGGCAGCAGGCAGCACTGGTGGCCGTCCACGCACTTGACTCCCCCGCAGCTGTGCAGGGCTTGGCACGCCGAGATGAGGCACGCCGACAAAAGTCTCCTGGTTGTCCTGCCGCCGCCCAGAAGACGGGGCTTCATCTCTGCGCCGCGTCTTACCTTCGCTCGGTCCTCTCAGGTGTTAACAAGTCCCCACACATCCCCCTTTTTTCTTAATTTCTTTCTTTCTTTCTCTTTTTAAATCTTCCCAGTCGAAACCCAGATGATGAGTTAACACGGGCACTGCAGCGCGGAGTGGGACAGCAGCTGCAACACCCCCCCACGCAGCCGCCCCTGTTGCAGACAACCTGTCTGCTGTGGCGCACACGAAGCGAGTGGGGCAGCATCAGTGTCTGGAGGCAGCAGCAGTGATGGAAAGGATGAATGATCTTACATCATTATTACGTGAATACTTACTATTAGGCTCCCTGTGTGTCCTCACTCCAGTGAAGTTGATTCATAATATCCCTTCCCTCTAATTAGGTAAAAAAAAAAAGACCTAACAGGATCGGAATCCCGTTTTATTCATGTGAATAGCCAGCAACTCTATGACAACTAAACAAAAGTATCAGTAATATCGATACCAAGTCGGTATGAGTATCGCGGTGACGCTGACGTGACAGGAACGATACGTCACATTTGTTTTGTCGTTTCTCAACTGATTCACTCTCAAATATTTTCATTTACTTATTTATTTCTACACTTTCTTTATTTTAATTTTAGAAAACGATGCACACAAATTTGTTTCGTTTACCCATTGACTCTCTCCATCATGCACGTTTGTCAATGATGTAGCCTATTTTATAGATGCAAATAAAATTTATCCAGATTTTGTTCTTAGTTTCAGCAAAAATAATTGAAAGGAAAAAAAGAAAAACACAAAAATGCCTGAAGATCAGAAGTTTGACGATACTTTGGACTTGAGTTTTGGTATTGCTGTAGTTACTAACAATAAGTTTATTCAGAATCAGATCGATACAAAATATGCGCTATCGCACACCTCCACACAAACGCACATTCATAGACAGCAAATGATAATTATTAGCAAATGATAATTATTAGTCTGTAATGTTAGATTTATTGTAATAAATAGCTAATTTAGATGAGGTTTTACAGCCTTTACAATAAACATCTGTCTTTTTCTGCAAACTGGTGCGTTATATTGGGATTTTATATCACAAACCAACACAAAGTAGTACATAATTCACATAAATGGCTTCTTTTTTTTTTTTTTTTTAAAAATACAACTAAAAATCTGGAAAGTAAAGTTCACATTTTATATTCAGCCTCCTATCTTCTGATATGGTTATGTGTAACATCCAGTGTATTTATGTGGTTGCAGTACATATTGAAGAAGATGCTCTGCAGATGAAAACAAACTTGAACTCAACTGTCTACACTGTGTGGAAAACATGGTGGTGGGAGGGAGGGAGTGTTTTGGATTTTTTATTTTTTCTTTCCAGAAGGTTTACAGGGAAGTTGTTTAGAGATGATGAGAAGATGGATGGAGCTAAATGTAGGGCAGTCCAGTCAGAGCGACTTCTGAAGAATGAGCACATATTTCGACCTCAAAATGTGTAAAAACAAAAAATCTTACGTAATTCTCAGTATTCGTCAAATATGTACTTCTTTGCTGTAACGCATTTAAAAAATCCAAAAAAAAATCCAAATAAAATAATTGAAGTCTCGGGTTGCGATTGTAGAAAATGGGCTGCATGGTCCTTCAAAATATGAGAATATGAAAGCTCTTGTGAGGAACTTCGTACATACAGCTCTGCTTGCTTTGGACCGGTGCCCTCGATCTGGCTGCCCTCTCGCCACAGGTGCACGTATAACCAGTGATAGCAAATGCCTCTGATAAGAGGCGCCAATGGCTCTGTACGTCTCATAAAAAATGAATAGTTCTTGCTGTGTGGGTATGTAATGGACCTTCATTAGAGAAGAAGCTTGATTCCCATTAGCTCAGCATCACCCAAGAGAGCCATGCGTCTGCAGCACTGAAAAGGACATAACCATAAATCTATCTCCCCGCTTTAAGTAGTGGTCCCCTTGAACAACAGGTTAATTTTACTCCAAAGATGTTCCCTTGGATATCATCCAAGAATGACAGACGGCTCACAAAGTGGCTCCACTGAACGCAAACAGATTAATTACAACACTCTGCAGACTTCTTTTTTCCTTCTTTTTTTGCATCGTAATGGTGCAGTAACATCAGTCATTTGGTGGCTACAGAAACCGGGCTGCGTATCTTCACCAAAACTAGCTTGAGTTTGATGTGAAGTGAGGGTTTGGACTTTTGTGGGTCTGATGGGGTTTATTATGAGCAACAGCAAGACGAATCTACACTCAATGACTTCCGTGAAGCTGGACTTGATCGATGAGAACCAACTTGTGTAAAGTCCAAATCCCTGCATTTGGACTTGTGTTCCTGTTTGCTATCAACCCAAACCACGCCCAGTGCAGCAAACACGTCATCTAATTCTGTGAGCATTGTGTCGTCAGATTCAGCACAAGCGGAGCATTGTGTCTGCCTGGATTAGGGAAACCTGATCGTAGGGTTTGCTCGTAATCAAATAAGCAATCAATATTCCGCGGACAGTGATTCTGAGAGTTTACCGCCGCAGACGACTGACTACCTTCTTCTTAGTCCAGCTTTGGATGACATCACCAGCAATTGTTTTACCTCATTGCCTTTCACTGACAATACCAGCAATAATTGCTTTTAATCAGAGCTCTCTCCCTGTAGGGTCTGGGAAGCAGAATAAAGATGCAGGACTTTTAGCATGAGGGGGGAAAAAAAGCTAAATAAATTAGGACGCTGGGATTTTTAGTCACCTAAATCCAACCCATAGAAACATTTAGAAAAATAGAACAAAAAAAGCCTTTTTTTTATGAAGAGGTAGAACGAAGGAATAAATAAAACAGTTCTGTATTCAATTAAAATTGTCACAGTGAAAATAAAACAACAAAGAAGTACGTTGTGTTCTTTTCTGCTCCTCTCCGTATCGTTCTCTTACAATTTGCCCACATCAAGTCTTTTCGTACTGATCTACGTCCCATCGCATAGTGTTGCTTTCATCTGAGTAATGCGCATGAAGTAAATTCTCCCTTCTTCAATCTTTCTTCCTCGCTCTTGGTGCCCATCTATCAAGGAGCAACCTTCAGGACCTCCAGCTAAATGGAGAACCAAATGTCTCCAGTGAAAAACACAACGATGGAAGTCAATCATGTGCAATTCCTTGCAAACGCATTCGTAGCGCTCAGAGTTTTTCTACGTGCTGCAAACGCTGTTCTCACCTAAATCCCACCATTTTGGTGGGATTTCATGGGACAGATCAGCACAAGCACTCTAAGAACTATAATGCCAAAGGGAAAACTGCACCTGGTTTTCAACAAAGACTGGTGTGCATTTGTATTCATCTCGCTTGAGTCAATACTTTATTGAGCCACGCTTTGGAGTACAATAGCTCTTCTTGGAAACTGCCTCCAGCTTAGCCGGATTGGATGGAGAGCAACTATGAACATCAGTTTTGGAGACCGAGGTGAAGTTGACCCTCCCTGTCGCCTTCAAATCAAACAAAATTGGTGTCAAATGTTTGTGCTGCAAAATTTTCATTTGTGCTTCTTTTGTTTTACAGATACTACCAAAGGTCCAAAGGTCAACCCGCCCTTCCACATCACCCGAATCAAACAAAATTGTCAGTAAGCGTTTGTGCTACATTTGTGCTGGAATATTTGTGCAGCACAAACGAGGACAAATGTAGAACAGTTGATTGACACCAAATATATTTGACTTCATAAATGCGGGAGGAATTCACGTTAACCTGTATGATCTCCGGAAATTTTTATCAACATTTTAAAAACGATGGCACCACAAACGCAGGACAAACATTTGACTCCAGTTTAGTTTGATTTGAAGAAGGTGGGTTTTTTTTTGTTTGGTTGCTCTGAGCCTCTCAGGTTAGGTGGACAGACATGTCTTTGGGTTTGCATTTTTCTATTTTCGGATGATATAAAGAAAAGTTCAGAAGTGTCCTCTAACAGGGGTTCCAAACCTTTTCCAGGCCATGGCTCCCCAAAACAAGATTACCTCCTGTCCCTCTGCAAACCCACCAGCAATGCTGCAAAACATGTGAAGAAGTATCCGCTTTTACAATTTTATTCTCACATTTATTTGTTCTCCAGTAATTATGACATTTGTTTAGCATAAATACTGATTCATATATTCTGATTGTAGCTGGCCATGATTTCTTAGGGATTTTTGCAGCAATGTCCTCCACAGCAGGTTTGCTGGATGGTTCTTTCAGTTTTTGTTGGTTTTGACAGAATTGTTAGCACTTTATGCTTACCGTGCTAGCTTCAGGAACAGAGCAGCTTGATAAATTGGACAAATCAGCCATTCACCCTAACCCTAACCCAAGTGACATTTCAATAAGTTTTTTAAACTTAAATGCTTTATTAGACTATTTTTTTTTTTAAATGTAGCTGTTTTTCCCGTTTTATCTTCCACCAATCTTTCTGAGGCCACCCTTCCGCCTCCTGGCGGCCTCTCGGGGTGGCTCAGCCCCCCATTTTGAGAAACACCGCTCCAACAAACGTCTGAGGCTTTCACAGGACTTATACTAACATCATATTACACACAAGTGAACTCAATTGACTAATTAGGTGCCTTCTGAAGTCTTTAATTTTTTTAGATTGTACCCATCAGAGTATAGAGGCCTGAAAACAACAGCAACCTTCACGTTCATGCGCTTCTTTCTACACACTCAGACAGTTTTATGTATTCACTCATGTCAAATGGCAAAATATCAAAAATGTTTGTCAGGCATTAACCGTTCATTACAGGAGACAGAAAATGCTTTATTACTTGCTGACAGATGTAAAACTAATTGATGTTCGCCTAAATCTGTTAACACAGCTGCCATGGCAACTGTTGCGTTAGCCTGTAATAAGTAGCAGCTCCTCCTGTGTGGCCAACAATTAAAGCCGCAGCACTCCGACTGTTCTGTGTTGGTGTCATAAATTTGCCGTACTCTACGCTTTTATCAGTCTGGCACAAAGGTCCCCAGTGTTGTGCTCAGTAATGCAGTCTTACCGGGTCCATTAGCTCTCTGCACAGATGAATGGCAGCGTTCATTTTTACTTGTCATAGACGCTGATGAACAGCTCGCCCAGCAGGCAGTGTCACGGTTATCACGTTTGCATTAATTATGAAACAAAGGCGACTGTCAGAACTCTGGACTTTTAATAGGCCCACTGGAAGTTCTGGGTTTCACTTTGTGTGCTGCAGAGCAGAAGTCAAAACCTCAAGGTTACACTGTACTCTGACACAAACCTCAGCCTTTCTTTCGT